AAGCTTAGGAAATTAGGTAGATTTTATAATCACATGTAACTTGGCTAAGGCTATGGTTAACAACTTAATAAAGTTTACGACGTGACTGTCAAAGGAAAAAAAAAAAAAAAAATGCAACTAGTTTAGAACCAAAAATCTTGATAACAAATAATGATCTAGCAGTTAATAGCATAGTCATAGTACAATTTTCCAACATATTTTATATATATTGTATTTGACACATAAATCAAAATTTACTAAAAAAATCTAAAAAAAATAATTGGTTCTAGTTATAATAATTTTATAAAAGACTTTTATACTATAAAAAATAGCCTTATAGAAGAAAAATTTATTGAAAAGTAAATATAACAGTACAATAATACTAAATCATATTAGTGTATTCAATACTATATAGCTTTGCTAGTAAGTTTTAAAGTAAAGTTATAGATTTGAATTTTAGTTAGGTAAAATTTTTGGGGTTGAATATTTTTATATACTACTAGTATGATTTAGTAAAACTGTAATAGTATTGCTCCATAAAGATTTTTTATTATATTTTTTATTTATTTATAGATAGGAAAAATTATTACATGAATAAATCTTAATAGGATCTATAGGCAGGGGACCTGCATGGTAGAAATTCTGAGTTGGTAAAGTAGTATAGCTTTTAATGGTCATACTAGCTAATGTTAATTCAGAAAGGAAACTATTATTAAAAGATGCAGATTGAGTTAGGTATGTATAAATCTGTTTCATAGAGAGGATCAGTAATACTAACCTAGCTTGGTAGCTAACTAGATTAGGAGGATCTGCTTCATTAAATATCTGAGATTATAGAATACAGAAAACTGGTAGAGAGCTATAGTAGGAACTAGAGTTGTACAAATATCTACAAGGGTCTAAGCTATGTGAATTCATAAAATAGGTACAGACTACTTTAGTAGGTATACTTTGAGGTTAACTAGCTCTGTGATATCTACAATATGTTTGGTATAATATATCCTGAGAGGATTTAAGCTGTTCTGAATAAATAAATCTGTAACGAGCTAGCTGGCTTAAATAATTAGGTATTGTAGTAATGTTAGATTAGATCTGTATAGCTTAATGAATAGAGTATTTAAATAGGTAACTCATAGACAGGTTACAGGTATGGTAACATAGTATAGAACTAATTAAATGATCTAATCATCTATGCAGCGGACTACTTAAATTAGACAATGACTAAAGTTGTATGTATGGCTTGTTGTATACTCTTCATGTAATTACAAATAGTAGAGACTATCAATATATATCCTGTATGTAATTCTAATAAAATTCCTTTAGCAATGTAAGCCGCCTTAATAACAAAAAAAAAAAAATTACTATATAATTATCCACAATTCAGTAATTATTTAATAAAATCTTTAGAAAATTGTACTAAATCATAAGTGCGTGCTTTTACTAGTAGATATTTCACAGCTAGTGTATAGTCAACCTCCCATAACGAAAATAAGAACTCAATACTAAAATACTGCTTTGGAAATTCAAGTCTTTCATTATATGAACTATTTAATACCTTAGAAGAAAGGTACTAAGAAAAAATTAATTATTGTAAGTTTGTAAGTTGGAAGCAAACTATGCAACAAGTAGGATCAAAAAATATAACACAAAGTATTTTCAAACCAATAGTACAACAATTGAATGAGTTTGTAATACCAAATATAATGAAAAAGTAGAAGAAACAAATAAACTTAAGTTTTTATTATCATGTTATAGAAGTTGATCTTGAATCTATATTTTCTAAAAAGAAGTTAATATTTTTATTTAATTTTCATATTAAATTATACCAAAATTATTGATTTATTTTATGACTATCATTAACATATATTTTACTATTTATAGTATAAACTGTAATAGTTTTGATTGCATCTCTAAAGCTATGTTTACTGGATTTATAGATCAATTATAGGCTGTCACCAATAGAAATAAGGCAGATTTATTAGAGAAATCTGTTTTATTTCTATTGATAACAGCTAATATAATGTGAAAGATAATTAGCTTTTGTGTTTTTGCAGTTTTATTAGAATAAACTATTAATAGCATAAGCTATTTTTTTTTATATTATTATAATGAATATCATTAGTTAATTATTTATTTCTTTTTAATTGCTTATTATTTTAGAAAGTTGATGAGTCAGAACAGTGTATTGATAATTTATTTGATTGCCTACAAATACAACTAAAATCACTTCTAAACAATTTTTTAACAATTCTTAAATTCTGAGAAGTTTTATACTTATTAAATTCTGGTATTTCTTATTTTGTATATTTTTTAAATGATAGAACTTTTCTTTATACATATATGCTTGGAAAATCTTATAGATATCTATGCTGTTATTTTTACTGTATTATGACTCTAACTCCTACTATAAGATTTCATATCAATTTAGTTAATAGATGCTAGTACAAAGACATGTTACAAGGAATCAATATAACAAATAATAAATTTATACTCCTTTCTTCAAATGTATTGATATCAATATCAAAAGTATATTCTTTACCAACACAATTTTTGTATAATAGATTTGATGTTAATAGAGTTGAAAAATTTGCAAATAGTGTTTCAAGTCAATCATCTGATGAGATATCTAAAACTATTTCGAAAAAATACAAGTTTGATGAACTTTAGGAATTAAGAAAAAAAGTAATAATCAATGTAATTAAAAGTAATAATGAAGATATTTATCATAAACTTCTTAGATTTTTTATATAAATTCAAAAAAGAACATTACAGAAAATCATTAATGAGATTAGTAGTGTTGATGAATTTAACTATAATATTAATAATAATAGTTGTATAATAGGTATTCAAAATCCTATTGAGAGAAGACTAAAAGATTGTTCTAAATCAAAAAGAATTGCAAATACTCTCGAGAAATCTGATACAAAAATGAGTTACAAGTGCAAGTTATGCAAAAAAAGAGGTCATAATAGCAAAACTTGCAAAGAAAAAAAAATAAAGGCTAATGAAAATAAAACAAATGATGAAATTGAAAAATAATTATATAGTTACTTCATAATTAGTTTGAGATATTTAATATTAAAGATTTTAAACATTTAAAATTATAAGAACAAAAGATGTCATATAATTATCATATACTAATTTATTATACAAAATTCTATAAATTCAAAAAAAAATTAAGATTGATTTTATTCTTATTACATATATTAATATATACATTTACTAATATGCTAATATGATTGTATAGTAAATATAAGTAATGAATATAGAAAATGACTTTGTATTTAATATACCTACTTATTACTAAAATATTTATTAATTTAGATTATGAAGATAGTAATTATGAAGAATTATTAGCAACCTCTACAAGTTATGAATATGTTCGAGAAATATTGAACATAGAAAAATCTGTATTAGTTAATTCATTTTATAGTCTAATAATAAATTTTTTTTTTTTCCTTTAACAGTCATGTCATAAACTTTATTAAGTTGTTAACTATAGCCATAACCAAGTTATATATAATTTATAAAATCTGCTTAATTTCCTAAATCTGACATCACTTAGCTGCTTCTAAAATGCTCAGATACAATCTGTTGTACTAGCCAAATAGCTAGAACAATTTGTCTAACTAATTCAAAAAAAACTCCACTATCCTATGTCCCTTTCCTTAATTCTTTTTTTAACTGTATTCTCTACTAAAGCTATTATCCAACTTTTTTTCCTTTCTTTTTCCTTCTTTTTCTCTATAAGTACTTTTTTCCTTTCTTCATCTGCTCAAGTTCTCACTTTAGATATTGACTCTTTGGTTTTGTTTCTTTTGAGCTTCATTGTGATTTCTTTCTCTTTTTCCCAAATAATTACCTTTTTACAATACCAGTTCCATATAACTTCTGCAAAGCTTCTTTGAGTTATAAAGAAAATACTATCTAATTAGGTTCTTTTAATACTTTTTTCCTATACTAATACTTCTATGTCTTCTGCTATTTTCTTTTCTTCAAGTTTAATAATTAGCTCCTTCATTCTTTAGTATTGACTTTCTTTATTTTTTAGAAAGATGATCTTTTTAATCTTTGGTAGTAGGTTTAGACAGTGGTTTTCTTCAGGTCTAAGCTTGCCAATACTTTCTACTACTGCTTCTTAAATTTGTTCCTATAAGTCTTATAGAGCTGAACATCTAAAAAGGTAGTCAAAGTTTTCAGGAATTTCTTTTTTACATAGAATATAGTAGTTACTTTTATAGAGATCTAGTTTTCGTTTTTTCAATTCACTAA